AAACAGTGAATTTCGGATTCAATTACAAACTAATCTTCGAGTCATGAGGATTGTTTTTTCTTTCATTTTCTTACCTCTACTTGCTTTGCTCTTTTTGTGTAAAGCAATCAAACGTATTAGATAATATGCATCTTTATATATAGACTACACTGAGGATTATGCATAATTTGTTATAGGTCACGTTCACAAGCAAGCTATTATAAATGTGATATTTATTTGATAAGGAAATATCAATATATAACACACTAAAAACTTAAATATATGTCTTTAACTAGATAAGGAAATGTTGTAACTACTTTGCGGAATGATCAAAGTACTCATTCTTTTCAGTATTGAAATCGTTCAAATGTAACAGAAAAAAATCAAATAAAATTAAACAATTTTTTTTTGGGAAATTGGCAAAAATAACACAAAAAAAAATTATAATCTAAAAACTAACCAAAAATCCTACATCCAATGGTCATGATTTTGCCATATACCCCCATTTTACTTACTTTTTAATTATTATTTTTTTTGGATTATACACCAAAATCTTCCTTTTTTTCTTTTCTTTGAAGCATCCTACAAGACCAAACAAACCGAATATTGAGAGATTCTTTTTTGAACGAGCAGAAAGAAAGGCATGGATCAAAGGCTAATGTTCACACATGGGAGAAGGATGCATGAGGTTTTGACCCCTCTTTCCCCTCCCCCGCGAAATGGTATATCATAGGATTATAAACATTTTTATTCCTAGTTATATTAGATTTTCGAACTAATATTAGATTATAAACTATTGAAGATGTGAGTAAAGGTGTGGCTAATTGTTTATGGTTCAAAATATCACTAATTATATGTTAAATAAAATATTGTTCAATACTAAGAAACATCTATAACTCGTACGTAGACCTATTAATCAACATTTGTGTTTTAAGAAGTTTAAACTAAAGGACCGTCGAAATGATTAAAAGTCTACTTAGTAGCATTTGAGCTGTTTTATAAACGTAGTTGCTTCTAACAATTAGGATATAGGAGCTTCCGATTAACAATCCATCTTATCTGTAATCATGTTTTGTATTTTAATTATGTTTTAAGTTCAAACTCTTTGATAACAAATTTTTGGCATTTTTGAATTGTAATCGTATTTTAAATTATTATAAGTACGTCTGTCCCAAAAAAAAAAAAATAAAGACTATGATTTTTTTTTTTCCGCACAAATTACAAATTGCTTAAGTATTCTGGGTGTGTACATATATATTTGTTAAATTTATAAATTTCTTGGAAGATATACTCGTTGCTAAGCATTATGATTTATGAATAGTCAAAGAATACAGCTGGTGACGTTTTGATTTAACTATCGTTTAATTTTGCAAAATAAATCAGTACCTACAACATCGTTTCCTTAAAAAATGAAAAGTTAGTACAAAGCATGATATCATATAACCGACAGGAAGGTTTCATGTCCTCCCATATATTATCCGATAACTGGTTCAAAGATTTTTAATCATATATTTACAATAATCTTAGAATGTTTTAGATTAATGAACCCTAGCTAGGATATAATAAGCCAATGGCGGGTTATCTCTTAGCTCAATACACAGTCCCGTAATACCGTTTGATATTATATTATGTTACAGTGTATAAACACAGATTTTATATTATACTCTTTCTTATCTTTTTCCCCGACAAATTTCAGTTTTATATCAATACACAAAGACTGAGTATTCTAGCAATTGTTTAGATTATTTGAACATTGAATCTAGACCTAATGATTCCTAGAAAG